AAACTCGTTTCCTTCTTTGGGCAATGAATGCATTTGGCCATCCATGTCGCCCCTGTCCATTTTACAAATGGTAACCTCCTGTCCCCTCACCACGGTGAGTATCCCTTTTTCACGAAGACATTCACTCTGACTGTTCCAGACATGTTTCATTTCTCCGAGTTACGATATAAAAAATAAGGAGAAAAGTTGTTTCTAGCGTTTTTTTCAGTTTTTCATTTCCTGTTTCGAATTTATTAATGTCGGAATGGTGTCACACCATTGAGTTTTCTGAAGTCAACAAAGGTAGGAGGGACCAGACCCCGGGCGCTCGTATCACCATCCATTTTTGTGCGTGAAGTCATCGTAACCCGGCTTCAGTCCGGATTTCGCCACTAATCCAACCTTACATTCATGTAGACTGGTACACCGTAGAGGGAGGCCCTTTCTGTGTGCTTTTCGTGATGCTCCACTTTTTTTCTTTTTTTTTTTTCCCTTTTTTTGGCCGTGGAATCATCATCGTGGGCCCCATTTTCTGTATTCTGCCATTTGAATTTGGCGGCCAGCGCAGCAGAGGCGCAGCCCGAGCTTCACTTCGATTGTTTCGGGGCATCATCAATAAGATCCGAAAAACGTGGTGCTTACCTGACGGCACATGTCGAAGACAGACATCATACTGTTCGGATAAGTCGTGACATAGCCTTACACCCTAATAGGAAGAACTTTAAGTATCCGAAAAACGTTTGTCTGAAGGACTTTTAAGCCTTCAGATAAGCACCACGTTTTTCGGATCTTAAAAGTTCTTCCTATAGGGTATTACAGCATTTCAAGCCTGCTGGTTTAGCAGCGACAGTCTACGTTCCGTGTGCATGCAACTAACTTTTTTTTTTTTTTTTTTTTTTCCCCCTGAGAATATTGAGGGCATTAAAAAACAAAAAACAGAAAAAAACATTGAGGGCAGTGTGCACACTTTTCGGCTGTATTAATGTGCCATGAGCCGCAGCACTACCGAGGTCGTTGACGACATCAACGGCCTCTCTCCACTGCAACGTCCTCAGTACAGCCTGAGCTGGAAAGCAGGTCCTCAGGAGGAGGGGGTTGGTGTCTGTCCTCGACGGGTCCCAAAAAAAACAGGATGTCTTTCCTCAAACCACCAGTACTTTGCCCAGCTATGAAGACCGAGCCTGGGCCGACAGGTATGCCGATCCGTGCCAAGGCTGGAGCTACAGGGCTTTTTTTTTTTTATTAGTTTAAGGATAATTCTTTTGCGCCCAACCAATGCAATTACCTGTCTGATCTGGACAGGGACGGCCTTTCAGGCCCCTTTTTATTGTCATTAAAAGGGTTAACACCCCGTACATACGGAGGCCCCCGGGCCGACATCCGTACGTTCGGCTGGATGTTCGGGGCCCGTCTCTCTATGGGTTCGAGACCTGCAAAAAACCATTTTCGTTTTTTTTTTTTTTATTTTTTATTTCAGATTCCCTATTATATTGCCTACCTGCCCCTCAACTTTCATCATTATCTGCTCATTAAAAAAAAAAAAGAAAAAAAAAAAAGATAAAATTCAATAAAGATAGGATTTTTTAAACTTTTTTTTTTTTTTTTGAAAACCTCCCCGATTTTACTCTCCTCTTTACCGTTTTCAACTTTTCATAAATATTTTTGAATAATTGACTGATCGATTGGTTGAGGTGCCCCCCCCCCCCCCCCCCGCAAGCCCCCTGCCCTCAATCGATCAACCAATCAATCAATCAATATTCGTTTTTTTCTTTTCTTTTCTCTTGATTGGTTGATTGATCGTTACGCGCCCATTTATTTTTCCTTCTTATTTAACTGATTGGGCAGGAAGGGGTCGCCCCTGCCCCCCCCCGCCCTACAGAGCACTGGCTGTTTAATGACCTGAGTGTGGCGGCATGTGCTTAGCGCTCTCAGTACTTGGCCCAGCTATCGGCCTTGGGAAAAAACAGAGTAGAAACGTTTCTAGTCAGATGAATTTGGACGCTCCTGTAGTGACCCGTACATTTCCTAAAATCGGGGCTCGTTAAATGACACAACTCCAGGAAGTACTGCTGGTTTAAACGCTCGCAGTACTGACGTGGGGTAGCGGCGCACATCCTCAGGACTGCAGTTGTGTCTCCTCATCGCGTCCTTGACATCGTCACCAGCTGACTTAACCACGGTCCTTGACGGTTCTTACCTAAGTTTCAAGACAGACGGTCGAGCCCCACCTTTAACCAAATGCCAACATGCTGAACGCATCTGGACTGATTTGATGATCTGATTAGTTCATGATATTGGCATTTAACACGAGCCGCACCACTAGCTAAAAAATGCCAACATTTCCGAATGTATCTGGACCGATTTGATGATCAGATTCGTTCATGATAATGGCATTAAACCTGTGGTGTGGCGAGGCCAAGATCCTGAATGTTACCCACCACCTACAGAGCAGCACCAATACAGTTATTGACTTTCTGACATGTTTCTTCTTTTTTTTTCCTTTGTGGATTTTTGTTTTTGTTTTTGTTTTTGTTTTCAGGGCAACGGACAGCCTTGAGATATCATCATTGAGCTGACCAGGCCCAGGCAATTCAGAAACATTTGGTTTCTCATCCAGAACCTTCATCTGGATTCGAACTCGGGTCTGCATTTTCCAATGACAACAACTTTAAAAACAATTTCTCAGCAGTTCATGGGTGTACCCACTGAGCTAGACTCTTGGGTTTTGCGGAAGGTTTTTCCTTTTCTTTTACAGAAATTGTTTTTAAAATTTAAAGTCGTTTTCTTGGTGAAGGGAGATTACCTCTCTTGGTGGAGGGAGGTAATTGCAAGTTTGCCCCTTGCCCTAATGGTTTAAGGGCAAGGGTTGGGACCACCGGTGGGGACCACCGGCGGGCACCCGGCAAACACAAGGACCGAGCAGTGTTTTTAAGGCCAATAGCTGCGCCTCCCTTTTCATCTTCTTCCCACACCCCCAATCGAATAACAGCAGTGTCTATGGCAAACACTCCCCCACACACAACCCACTCCCACTCACACTCGCACTCACACCCATGTTGGCTGAAGACCTTGCTAATATCGACCGCGAGGATCCATAGCTATGCTCCCAGGGGTCCCCTGTATAGCCTTAGGAGAAGTGGTAGGTAGGTAGGTAGGTAGGTAGGTAGGTAGGTAGGTAGGTAGGTAGGTATACAAAGAGTAGTTGTCGCTTCCTTTCTGCCGCTTTCTTTTGTGATCGGGTATTCAGTGTTCTCGAACACAACAGCTCGTTAGTTCTGGATGGTGCCACAGGAGCTCTTATTGCTGCACCGCCATATCCCGTGCTCGCTATTACTTCTCTACTTATCCCTTAGGTCATCCTCATAGCAAAAAAACAAAGAAAAAGAATCCTCGCCACCATGTATCTCTTGCCTAGCTCAAGTTCATGTGGTGAGCTGGAAGCTCGCAGCCTGTGTTCTTTAATCAAACAGCAAAATCTCTCTCTCTCTCTCTCTCTCTCTCTCTCTCTCTCTCTCTCTCTCTCTCTCTCTCTCTGTGTTCATGTGGTGAGCTGAAGGCTCACAGCTTGTGTTCTTTCATCAAACAGCAATCTCTCTCTCTCTCTCTCTCTCTCTCTCTCTCTCTCTCTCTCTCTCTCTCTCTCTCTCTCTCTCTCTCTCTCTC